ATCACAAATTTGTATTTGGGGGCACCATAAGCATAACTAATGGCATAGTAATAATTACCATGGAATATTAATCAAGTGAGATCAGAGAATTAACTTCAAAAAAATATTTCGAAACTCAGGATTCAATCAGATTTGATGTAGAATACACCAATGTTATCCCAGTAGATTGTCTGTCGACGATTGTAAACATGTATCGATGTATCAATGAACAGATACTATGGTGTTCGACAGTGCATATATTTTGACAGACAAATTACAAGGGAGATCAGAACATTAATCGTAGTTCGGCATTGATGTTAGTCAACAACAAATCAATATAGAGAAATCGACTGCATTTGCTGACCAAACAGAAGAATCGGAAGTGATAACAAGTTCAGCAATTAAATTGTAAAGGAAAGACAGCTGAAATGAATGTTCAGCTACAAGCTAAATGCTCGCATTTAATTTCTATCTGTACTTTGTGTTGACGTTTATGAAGAAAACATCAGCTTCACATTGAACCGTCCACCACACACACTACTCCGTATCAATAACATCAATCTTTCGCGTGGCATATCTAATCTGACAATTCGAAATGAATTTCAATCCACACAAATACCAAACATCATGACAAACAAAATAAAAGCCTCCGAATGTGAACTCAACTACTGATTATTAGTATGTAATATAATACCTTGAATAAGATGTGAAATGAGGCGAAATAGCTCGAAAATTAGACGATAGGCATGTGAATGCTATTGTTGTGTGCGTAACACCGAGTTGATGAGTCGTTCGGCAACAGACGTTACACCCTGGATTACCAGTTGTGGTCAGTCAAGTGATGATGCATTTTCAGCAAAAACCAACATGTCCTGCTGGTCACTGTGTATTCATTTTCAAGCTAGGCATGGGAACGTACTTCATCTTGCATTGTGAAGTGACATCAACTCATTATCAATACAAGTATGCAAAGATTTTGATGGTAGTGACCAAAGCTGTGTCAACAAATTCACATTACCGTTGATTGCATTATTGATATGTCAAGTTCAATTTTCACTACTCACCATCCAGATTCGTTTGTCCGAAGTGTGCTTTTGTTTGTGGGTGCTTCAGTTAAACTTGCATATCATTAAATGCACTAGTCGACTTTCCGTTTGATCGACTGCGCGGTATGCCGATTGAGTTGTACTGTTCTGTTTTGATGTATGTGTAAGTGAGAGGAGGAGGAAATGAATCGGTAGTTCATTATTCGAGAGTTTGTTGGTGGTGGTAATGAGATGTTAGCAAACAAATATATCACTTCAGATTTCTATAAAATATATTGCAAATGATGCTATTACTACTACTACTACTATTACTACTACTACTATTGTAAAATTTCCGTCTACTGCGATAACAATATTACTCCCATAATAGACCTATTACTAAATGGTGGACTTGTCCTGATGTAACTGCCTAATCAATAAGATCTTAGACGGAAGTCACATCATTGTCTACATTGAATCATCTTACCGTATTACATATATGATGGAGAGCACGTTCAGACTGGATATAGAACAATATATTTAATGTTAGTAAAAGATGAAAAGTAACATTAAACAGGGAACACACACGAAAAGCACAGCCGTGCCATCCAACCAACTCGAATATATTCAATTGCTTCTGTCTGCCTTACGCATCGTTGCGGTATTCTCTGAAAGTTATCTCGTGTTCAGCTTTGAGGATTGTGTGATTGCAGTAAACTACAGCAAAAACTACTACTACTACTTCTACTACCTTGTGTGACAGAAAAGAAAGGGAAACGACTTTTAAACATGGATCATGTATTTCAATACGGTTGTTTCTAATTCTGTTCACAACTCACAGCATTGACTGAATGTAAAGGATAGATTGTTAAGTCTTTTCTAAAACACGAGTCAATTCGCATAAAGCGCTGCAGTGCAAAGCAAAGACCAATAAAAGATTCCGTGCAAATACGTTATTTGAAGGATGAATGTATTTTATACAATGTTCACTTCGACAGATAGTGCGATGACATCTCCACTAAATATATGATAAAGAATATTACCACCCCTTGTTTCCGTTTGTTAACCTGGTAATTACTCAAAAAGAGGTTCGACAATCGGGGCACTATTGACCGCTTCGAGATAATGAGAATTACATCCTTCAATCATTGTTTTCTTCACGTTCACTAACTTGCCGAATCGACTCTTACATCTGTAATGACCCTAATTAAGTGTCACTGCAAACAACAAAGTGACTTACATATCGCACTGATTCGGTCCGAGTGAACTTTGAGTGATTAGCTGTGTGAGGATGCATTTTCAAGCATAACCAACACCTTCAACAGATGTGAATGGAGTAACTCTAGCCTTCATACTCACATATTTTCATGAAACCAACAACGCCTCGTGGTAATGTGGAACTGCTTATGAACTTCTCCAGTCAAATAATTCAGAATGACTACACTCCAGGAACAATGATATCATGGTTTAGTAGTTTACACTGCAATGTGTGTTATCATTCAACTCAACTTTATGCGCATTATCAGTCACATTCAGGTATTTTGACACACGTGTTCAAGTATTCGCAACACTACGACAATCGCTGTTTTCTGCTAGTGAAATTCGGTGACACGAAAACCGTACGCAATGGAACATTTGTTTCTTCAACGTCGGAGGTGATTTCTACTCATTCGGAACTTCAATACTGTGAATATCTTTCTCGAAGAACATTAAAACTCACTTAAATTGTGAGATGCATACATTGCTCAGCTCACTCACTACTGCATTGAACAATTCTTACATGGCCCAAACACTTCCTGTCTTCAATCAACCGTGATCGAGAATTCGGACGACGATATGCTGTGTATAAATCAAATTGAATATGCATGGTTGTTGTGTGTAGATGTTTCCTAGTGCAAAACGATCAGTGTGTGCATCAATTGTAATCAAACCTACCTATTAAGCCATCAATTATTGACTCATTCAAAACAACGGTGGATGGAGGAAAAAGTGTTCACATTTTATAACAAATATCTTTATTAAATTATTGTTTAAAATGAATTAATTAAAAAGAATAAAATGGAATAGAAATGTAATTCAGAACACCATCGGCCAAGATAATAATGTGCAGAAGCAAACTTTAAATAAACAGAATGTTCATTCGATCGTTTCACGTTCGCCGTCAACATCACGAGATTTAAGATAAATATCTGGCATTCCGAAAACGACGGTGACGAGAGAGAGGTCGACGAATGGCGCTGAATTCAATGGTGACTATGTCGTGCAATTTTGTGGATTCTTTGTAGTTAGACATTAACCTGGAAGCATAGGACTACCGTTTAGTCCTAGAATTTGACTTCACCGGAAATCAGATGTAGAAACACCAGGTTTCGTGGTGAGAGCTCGAACTTTAAATCACCGAGCTTATATCCACTGATTTATGTTTGTAACTTCAAGCCAGTCAAGAGGTGTGATCATGGATGTACACTTGCTGAAGAGTACTACAATAAGATGAAGCGACCGTTCAGGGCTTCCAGATTTTCCATGGTGGTCTAGCTTCAATTGACTTCTGATCTCAACTATTAAAACAAGAAATTCTATGAAAGTTAAACATCTTGTTAATACTACTTAAATCAATGTTTAGAAATGAATTGCGTTTTACCGAATTCATTAACGGTCTATTCTAATTCTATTACTTTAATAATAATAAGTAGTAAGTAGTAAGTATTATATTGTGCTTTATGCTTTCATTCTTCTTAAAATAAATCAATTTAATCAATGGGGAATATTACGTAATAGACATAATGTTATATAACACATTTCTTATTACATTTCTATATGGATACAATAGGGATTAGTTATAGGACTTTCAATATGACAAGAAGAAACTACGCATGTATTGTATAATTTAGTCTATTTGTTTATCAAGAATTCATTAAGTCATTCAGTCAGTCAGTCAGTCAGTCCGTCAGTCGGTCAGACAGAAAGTCAGTCGGTTACAATGTAGGACCAGGTACATATATATACGATCGGTCCAAGTCGCCATACCTCAATAGCACAACAAGATCAACATCGGATTCATAGAACTAGTTACTTCAATGATAGTAATATATAGAAATAAAAGAAAGATTGTGTATAAGGATGCGGTGTTGAATACCTCAAACATCAATCATGAAGTTATTATTGTGTTATGAATAGAAATTGAAGTAGGAATAAACTAGGTTTGATGCTATCACCAGTTCACTTAATCTGTGAACATGAGAACAAAGACACAGTGACCAAAGATCAATAAGCTAGATATTCAGATGTGTCCCAGCTCAGCTAACTAGTGGAAGACGTCCAATGGGACATATAACATGAAGGTGACAACAGCGCCTTTGACGCGTAAATAAAGAAATTCAAATTTTCTAACTGAAATTACAAAATTAGGTCCGTTTCCAAGAGAGTTCTGGTGATCTGACGTCATCAACATCTCATTTACAAATTACAATCATTTGCTCTTCCAGTTTACAATCACATTCTATTTTCCATTCTGTTTTATTCTCTTTAACTTGATGTTCTTAGGTATCTACTACTAGGTAGTTCTCTTCCTATTAGCATTATATACTACTCACATTGATACGTATAAGTAGTATGTAACACAGTTGTACTGAAATATATCTTTTCAAATGCTTTATTAAAATAAAGGATAAATGTTTAGATTAAGAAAGCCCTCAAATGTCCTGGTATGGTCGAGGGTGTAGAGAGTCAGTACTGTCACTCGAAATGCTCTCACATGAACACGTGTATACAGTTACTATCAGAGAAGTCCTACACATTGCCTTCTTGCAACAGGAGTGTTGTTTACGAAATTGACAGGATGAAAAGCGATGATGATATTACTGAATGTGTCTTCCAATTTCGTGGATTGGTTGAAGTTAAACATGAACACCATTAGATGTCGGACGATTCCGTAGTCTGAAGGTTAAATACTCGCACCCGAGACCAATAGAACCTAGGCTGAAATCTTGTGAAGTGGAATCGTGTATACGCACTGTCATTGAGGAATCCCACAATAGGACGAAACGATCAGCCATGCAGTGTTACCTTCAATTGATTCATGATCATAACCTATGAAAATGACTAATCATACTCCACACACAAAAAACAAACACGCCTTCTCATCCAACATTGGCAACATTGAATAACAACAAAAATAGAAAAAAATGAAGAAATTGATTAAATTCAATTTATCACTAACTAATTGAATATGGTACATTCACTGAGAAAAAAAGAGAGAAAAGAATCCAATCATGGAATGTTACATTAAAAAAGAGTATTATTATTATGAAAGTGTAGAGGGGGGAAAGAGTGAGAGATGGGGAGGCGGAGGTTGAGTAGTGCAGATCACAGAATCTAGATTGGGGAGAGGAGAGGGAAGAGCAGAGAAATAGAAAATGAATGTTTCCCCCTCATTTTTTAAAATTTATCTCCTTTCAATGAATATGACAATATTCATCAATGAAATGATGCTCTATTCAAAGGTTTATCTATTTTATTGTCGTTGCTACTGCCGTAGCTGTTGCCTTTGTTGTTGTTGTTGTTGTTGTTGCTGTGCTCATTTTTATTATCCCTGTTACTAACGTTAACTTTGATAAGTGAAATTCTATGAATGGACTACTATCATGAAAATATTTTTTGGCTGTTGGTTCTACTCGTTCAATAAATTGAGATAATCAAAATGAAAATGACCAAAAGAAACAACAACAACAGAAGAATGAATTACACAAATAGTTTCTAGGTAGATACCACTTTTTGTTTGTTTGGTTGTTGTTGTTGTTTTAATCAATTTTGTATATCTGTACGACGTTTCGTTGATATGGCGCCTAAGTAGAATTTTAATGAGATAATGTGGGAAATAATATTCTGTTTTAATGTGATACATGATGATTAGACAATTCTATTGATTAGTGTTTACGTGTATTCAATGGTGGATACCGACTTAATGGTCTAGTTATTATGTAAGTGTTTGCGAGTGAGATCAAAGATCATAAGTTCGAATCCTGTGAGAGGAATAGTTGATGTATAGATATTGCTAAGGAGTTCTATGCTAGGATGAAGCGGCTGTACAGTGTGTTTATGTTTTCAAAAGTTGTCTAACATTAATCCATTCAAATCTCCACAAGCCATGCTGATAATTCATGTGAATTGTTTGAATCTCCTTCAATGATCCAAGTATTTCAGTGGTCTAATGATTAAGTGTTCGCGCGAAAAACCAGTAGGTGCTGAGTTCGAATCTCTCAGGGGGCGAGGTCGTGGATGCACATTGCTGAGGAGTCCCACAATAGGACGAAACGACCATCCAGTTCTTCCAGATTTTCCATGATGGTCCGGCTCCAATTGACTCATGGTGTTAACCATTGTTATTTCAGTGAAATCGATTTCAGATCTATATCACTCAATCAATTGATAGAACATAGAAGTTTATTTTTACTTACGCATATGTTTCGGTCTAAAAGTCAAGAATTTTACACAGCAAACTAGGTGACACTCTCCTACCACTAGACACGATTTGTTAGTAGAGTTATTCAATTTTAACAAAACATTGGTAATCTCATTTGCTTAATCTTTTGCTTCTGATAAGCTGGAATTCATATTTTTATGTATGTACATAGGGCTTGTAAATATTGTATAATGTTCATTTCACTTTTATTGATATTTGGGGTTTTATTCGATCAATATCTGTCAGTAATTTCAATAGTTGAGATCATGAATCGATTGAAGGTGGATCATCATGGAAAACCAGGAAACATTGGACGGCCGTTTCGTCCTTTTGTCGGACTCCTCCTTTGCAGTGCGCATTCGTGACCACGCTTCGCGGTATTCGAATACAGGACCTATTGGTCGGTAAACTGATTCTACGCTTGTGTCTGAAGAGAGCATTATGACGTAGTAGTTTTAATATGAAAATCAATATTTGGATACAGGTACACCCAGTTGATGAGATTCTGACAATAGAAATTGTACTTTCTGTATCCAATTGTTAATCAATATTCAAAATATCTTTATATTTCCATGTCGAGTTTATAGAAATTCAAATGTAATCAATCAATTTAGATACTTAGTCTCCATCTCATAACACAACCAAGTAGTTATCACAACGCGATAATATTCGAAGCAAACAGTACTGAATTGAAGTGCCAGAATGAACATCAACTCTAAGATACAGATACATCCAACTGACGAATTCCAAATAGGACGAAACATGCATCAAACTAGATTTCACTATTATCCACTATCTATCTATTTTTAATTATAAACCATTTGACCTAAAACAATCGGCATACGGTGTACATATTTTCTGTTGTCAATGTATTTATATCATAGACAATCTATAATGCATATTGAGTTCTTGCCTTATTATTATTATTAGTTGTCTTATATCCTGTGTTTCTATTGTTATTATCTAGTTATACAATCTTGGCTTAGTTCAATGTTATTTCATTCAATTGACAATGAAGTTATTATCAGAAGGGGGTTTTGTGAAGATTGTAGTCATTTCAATAGTTGAAATCATGAGTCAATTGATGCTAGACCACCATGGAAAACTTGGAAGAACTGAGCAGTCGTTTCATTCTAGTATAGGACTCCTCCTTGGCAGTACGCATGCACGATCTCACCTCGCGTAATTCGAACCTACGCTCTATCCAATTTTGTTGAAAATAACTTAAGTTTTGAAAATCCTTGTTATTAAAGTGGACTGTATGGTCTTTTTAAAAACTGATTCCATAATAAATATTAACATTGATATTCACAGTGAAATATCAGTTTTTCAGCTGAGATTGACTTTATAAAACTTTGACAAGTTTTCTAATTTACGGGTTCCCTCACATGGGTTCAAATCTCATCCTCCTGTTTACTGATATATCTTCTGATTGAATAGTAGATTCGGTTTCCTGAGCTGTTGTAGTTATCACTTAGCTAAATCTGCACAGTAACTCTTTAAGTTAACTTTTCAATCACCAATGTCTGTTTTATATTGTTGTGGTCATAAGCAGATGATAAAATAATCAAAATATAAAATGTATTCAGTTGTTATTCTCCATTGATTTAAGTAGTCTCATTATGTTAAACACAACATGAAAGAAGATTTAGGCAGTAGTTAGATCGTCGACTAATTCATCAAAAGCATTAGTTTCTGCCGAAGCATGCGTTTACCATGCAGCAGTTCGTTCTGTCCTCCATCATGGAAGTGAAATATGGCTGATAAGAGTAGAGGATATTCGTAGGTTACTAGTGTTCGATCATAGGTGTCTTCGAAACATTTCTTGTATATCCTTAGACCAGCGAGTAAGTAATACGGTTGTTAGGAAACCTCTGCATTACTAACATGTTGCTGCCACTGGATGTCAGCAATCCTTTGGAGAGAACGGGTTTTACAAGCATAGAGCACTACTGCTCTCACCGACGCGTTGTATATCCGACCTTTTATAGCCAGACTGACATCATGAAGGCGCCAAAGATGGCCCAGATTGGCATAAGCCGCTCTGGCTTTCACTATACGAGCATTGATCTCATCACTCACGCCACCAACAGCACTTATGCAGCTACCTAGATACACGAACTTCTCACTACTTCTATCTGCTCAGCATCCAGAAGGAGTACAGGATTAAAATGCTGCCAATCTTGTAGAAGTACATTGTACTTCGAAAGTGTAAAGCACATATTGTTCTTACTCTCTTTAAGATAATAAATACAACTAATGTTTATGAAAACTCATATTCTGTTCAATTCTTCATGATAGAATTGAGTTTGTTGATCATTTGAATGAATGTATCATACGAATTGAATTCATTCTATGTTGGCATTACAGTACAATGAGAGCATTATGAAAATTATATTATTATTATCATTATTACTGTCACTATTATCATTACTATGATTAGTATTAATACTGTTACCATTACTATGGTCATTATTAGTAGGATTACTATTATTAGTATTGTTACTATTACCGTTACTATTACCATTATTACTGTTATTATTATTGTTGCTTAAAAAGCGCTTCACTTAACGCCATATCGAGCCAATCCCCAACACGATGTACATATGCCAACATCACACTGATCAATGGCAGAGCTAAATAACAATAGGACGATCCAAGTGAAACAACGTCAAGTGAATTTAAATTCACACCATTGTACAAAGCGAGTGGCGATCAGGACTCAGTTGGTGAGTGAATAACGCGATGGCGTTTGAAGTGAATGGTACTGGGTTGGAGTGCCGGAGTGAACATCAACTCTGAGATGCAGGTACATCCAGCTGACCAGTCCCAAATAGCACGAAACGCGTATCAAACTGGATTCCACTGCTAGTCACTATCCGTCATTGATTACAAAATATTATTAGTATTCTTACTGTTAACATTCCCATTCCCATTATTACTCTTACTCTTACTCTTACTATTATCATTCTTTCTATTCTTATCCCTATGGGAATACAATTTAACTCATTTTACATAATAAACATACAACTAATCATGCCATTAACAGGAAATAACTAAGAGAAGAAGAAAAGAAAATGTTAACATTTTTCTTTCTGTTTTAGTTCTTTCTTTTCTTTTTCTTCTTCCTCTTTGTTTAAATGAACCAAGTGTGTTTGATATAGGTGGAATGTGTTCAATGTTACATTGGACATGCACATGTCAATTATACATTGAATCATTGATTAGTTTACTTTATTTTAGAAGACAATGTATAGAAACTATCGATGGAAAGATGTTAAGTATTGTAGTTTAGATAAAGATGGATCATGGCTAATCATTGAATAGAGTTTGATGAGGGTTTCGTCCTATTTGTGACTCGTCAGTTGGATGTCATTGCATCACGGTGTTGATATTCAATTTAAGACTCGACCTTAATACTGTTCTGTTCGAATACCATCTCATTAATCACTAAGTTATAGAGTCCTGTTAGACATTTGCTTAATAAATGGAGCCAAGTTTAAATTCATTTGGTGTTGTTTTACTTGGATCTCTCCATGAACGTTGAGGACTGTCATTGATCAATCTCATTGTTCCCTCAAGATTACGGGTAAACCTTACTGATGAGTGCCAAATAGCATGAATCCTCGGTTCAGAGTTTCCTGTTGACTACCTTCAGCCATCATCTTATATTCAGAGTATTTTCCGAGAAAACTAAAATGATCTTCAATGAACTTCATTCTTGTTTAATGGAAAGACACCAGTTTTGGACAATTTATTCTGTTGCCGGTATGTAGGGGAAGGGGATATCGAGAGTGTACTTGTTAGATCATTCAGCAATAATCCTTCACACCTCTTCTAATGCAAATATAGTATTTCATTCATACATGTTGAATAGTAATCCTTTGTAGTCAGAGATCATCTCTTTTACTCAGCTGATTGTGTTTCAAATGAAGTGAAGAAAATTTCATTCGAATGATTGGATCAGTTACTGGATCCATTGGTTATTCCTTTGTCATCCATTACATTTACCTTCATTCACTCAAAATTGATTGATCACTCGATGGTGATTAATATCATGTGTGTCAAGTCCTTCTTAGTGCGAATCGAATGCCATGTTGAGTCACCTAGACTCACCTAGTGATCACATTACAACTTGGTCGATACCATTCTATCTGCACTAACAAGGATTTCACATACATGGCATTGATCACCACAAAGTGAATACATATCATTCCTAAAGGAGGTCGATGGCAACCCGGATAGCCCAATTTTAACGTCTCTGCCTGTGAAGCTAGCTGACATGAGATCGAATCCATTAGGGAGCATCAGTTCCCTTAAGATTACAGATACACCTTGCTGACGAGTATGAAATAGCACGAAACCCGTATCCAGGGTTTCCTGTTGACTACCTCCAATCGCCATACTACCATCATTCACAAACTGTAATACTACTACTACTACTACTGATTATAATAATAATAATAATACCAATAATGGTATACTTACTTCATAAAGTCTTATCACATTTGGATGATGTAAACTTTCTAAAATCAATATTTCTTGACTTAATAATCGTCTAGTTGATGTATTCATTTTACTTTTATCTAATACTTTAATTGCAACACGTTCTTCACAATGATATTCATAATGAAAATAAAGAAAAAGAGAGAAAAAAGAAAAGAAAGGGGGATGATGTAACTGTATTTCAATTCAATAAAGTAAAACAAGTGCCATGGCAACAATATTCACATTCAAATGTATCTTATATAATTAGAATGAACATGATTGCCAATCTATAAATGAATAATCCATATGTGGTTTAATGGTTAAGCGCTCGTGCACGAGACTGATAGGTCCTGCGTTCGAATCTCGTGAGGTAAGACCGTGAATGCGCACTACTAAGGAGGAGTTCCACAAGAGCACGAAACGGTTGTCCAATTGACTCATGATCTCAACAGCTGAACTTATTAAGATCTTCACAAAACCCTCTTCTTTTAGTAGTCTTGAATATCAATGAGAAGATTTAAGTAAACAATATGAAGTTGATTAGTGTGTTCGGCTTAGTGATCTAGAGGTTAAGTGTTTGTAAGTGACACCGAAAGTTACGGGTTGGAATCTTGTGTGAGGGATCGTGGTTGTGTACTGTTGAAGAGTTTCACAACAGGTCGAGCAATCCATTGAGTGGAACTCGTCTTTGCACATCAACTTCATTGATTATGAGAAGGTATCTGACAGTGTAGATAGGAGAATGTTATGGAAACTTTTTCGACATTATGGAGTTCCTGAGTAGATTGTCAACATTATCCGAAACTCATACGACGGACTACATTGCAAGGTCGTGCATAGAGGACAGCTGACAGACGCATTCCAAGTAAGGACCGGAGACAGACAAGGCTGTCTACTCTCTCCCTTCGTCTTTCCTCTGGTGGTCGACTGGATTATGAAAATCTTGACATCTGAGAGGAAACATGGCATACAATGGACATCTCAGAACCAATTAGACGATTTAGACTTCGCAGATGACCTAGCCCTCCTATCGCATAGATACGAGCAAATGCAGATAAAGACAGCCAGTGTGACAGCAGTCTCTGCATCAGTAGGCCTCAACATACACAAGGGGGAAACCCAGGTCCTCAAATACAACACGGAGAACAGAAATCCAATCACAAATGATGGCGAAACTCTGGAAGCTCTACAATCCTTCACATAACTGGGAAGCATCGTCGATAAACAAGAAGATTCAAATGCAGACGTAAAGGCGATGATTGGCAAAGCATGGGCGGCATCCCTTCAATTGAACAACATATGGAATTCAAAACAATTTTCAATCAGTATCAAAGTCAGAATCTTCAATACGAACGTTAAGGCAGTCAGTTGTACTGTACGGAGCTGAAACTTGCAGAACTACAACAACCACGATCAAGAAGGTATAAGTATTTATCAATAGCTGTCTACTCAAGGTACTCAACATTCATTGACCGGATATCACCAGCAATAGTTTTTTGTGGGAGAAAACAAATCAACTTCTAGCTGAAGAGGGTAATTATGAAAAGACGATGGAAATTGGTAGGACATACATTGAGGAAATCATCGAACTGCATTACGAGGCAAGCGCTAACTTGGAATCCTGAAGGGAAGTGGAAAAGAGGAAGGCCAAAGAACACATTACGTTGGGAAATAGAAGAGGGTATGAAAAAGATGAATAAGAACTGGAAAGAGCTGTAAGGATTGCCCAGGACAGGTTTGGATGGAGAAAGCTGGTGAGCGGCCTATGCTCCTTCGCGAGGAGTAACAGGCGTAAGTAAGTTAGTTGAACCATTATCAATATATATTATGTGATGATTGCGCCGATTGGAGAACAGTCACGTAAAACCTGTGTGGGTTTTGAACTTCTACAAATGGAGTCTTGCTAACTGAATCCACGTTGTGGCGGCGTTATTTATGGAAGAAAGTGGATGAAGAGTGAACTTATGGGACATAAACCGGGTTGAGAGGTATGTAAGCGTCGCTTAGGGTAGCCTTTCACCCTGTTAACATATGACGTAACGATACCGTTAATTAGAGAACGGTGATTTATTGACCGGAAACATGACTTGTACGAGCGGTCTAGAGTACTTATTGGTTCTGCTTCCTGCCTAGCGCTGCCCGCCTTTTGAATCCAGAACACCAATCACAGCCTCTGCGATATGAATCATGTATTTCAAACATCCTGGGTCTATATACAAGCCAAGCAAACCACATCACACCATAAAATAGAAGACAACATTTGTACACGATCTAGCCAAATGTGGTTGTGAATGTGTGAGACTGTAATTGATAGACCGGGCATAACTCAAGAACGGTAAATTGCATAACACTAATCTATGGGTCAAAATAATGCTTATAATAGGAGAAACATGAATAGGAATAGTTTAGCTACCTAACAATTATACAATCTTGATTCATAAATTCACCCCAATAGTTACCATCCACTATTCTCGTCGAGATATAACAGTATGTCACAAATTGGCATCATGTGTTTTCACTGTTGAAGGATTGTTCAAATCGTTTATACTTCAATATTTCAATGAATGAATTGTATAGTCTTGAGAAGTTTGTTTTTTGATGGAGTTTTATGCTCTCAGCTGGATGGTTTTGTCGTGGAGGTTTCATCGTTCTTCTGAACGACATCATCAGCAGCACAAACTTCAGGCAGAAGTGAAATGTTGAAATGTTGAAACAATTAACGTCGACGGTTTATTATTCAATTTAATATAAAAGTTATGCCATTGATATGTAAGATGATTGGTATACAGGAATTTCTCACCAATAAATCAATGATGAAATGGATAATCTAATATTTATGGATCGATCTAGGCCACACAATCATCGGAAATGTCGAAGCGCGGAAGGACCTTTTTGTCCTTGTATGGGATTCTTCAGAATTGCGTTTCTATGACCCTGCAGACGTGTTCTAGGTCCTAATTTTGGGTCTCAGGTACGGGATCGTGGGTGCGTATTGCTGAGGAGAATTATACATGGATGAAACAAATATCCAGTGGTTCCAAGTTTTCGATGATGATCTAGCATAGACTAATTGGTTAATTCAACTACAAAAATGTTGCAATTTCAGGCAAATTCTCATACTTTGAATATTATTTAATTGTATTGATAGTTGATTGTTAACTAAACATGTAGACATCGCATATCTGTATTGCAATATACGATTTTGTCATTTTATGAGACTCTTCAAAAGTTCGTCTCTACGACACTACAGATATGGTTTAGAGATTAAGTGTTCGCACGTTAAACCATGGTTCTAGGTCCGAGTCTCGGGTGCGGAATCGTGGATGCGAATCACTGAGGAACCGTTTCGTTCTGGTATAAAGCTTCTCAGCAATGCGTATACACGATTCCGCACCCGAGAATCGAACTTAGGACTTTCGGTTTTCTATGCTGATCTAGCTTCAATTAATTCATGATGTGAACTATTGAAATAGATTTTACTTTCGATCTGAAAGTTTTCGATTGATTTTACCTTAAAGTACAACATCTTTGTACTTTAATTTTATCAAACAAAATAGGAAAAACAATCATCAAATTCAACCTTCGATGAATCAAATAGTTTAATCATAATTCTATGATTCATTCTATTTATTAATACTTTAACATAAGTCATTATTATTATTATTATTTGAACACATAGATATTGGTAGAAGGAGGTACCAAATAGAGATATGCGCCACACAAATTTCATTTGATTTGTGTGAGGGCTGTGATACTTCCTAGGTGCCCAAACCGAAAGACGTGGTTTTCGTAGGAGGCCACACCCAGAGCCTTTGACCCGAAGGTGTGATCCATTAGGCAGTGGAGCGTCGTGAGGAGATGCAGTCCCATGGTAGTCGGTGACCAACAATTGGTTCATACGCCATTTGTTCCTTCAGGATCCTGAAACCCATGCACACCATCGGTTTGGAATGGGGATTTTCCAACTCTCATAGGTGAATACTTTATGTCCACTAACCCGGTTCAAGCACCGGACATTCGCTTTTCGTTCTCTCAATTTCGAAGACTACACCCATGTTGCAAGAAGGCAGTAAGTAGGAATTCTCTAACAGTGGTTGTATGCACGTAACCATGTGAGAACATTTGGAGAGGGAGAGATGACTTTCCCCACTGTTGTCCGTATCAGGGCATTTGTTGGGTAACTACCTCACACTCAACATGGTTTGGTCACAGCATCTGACTAGAACTTCGAGAATTATCCCTCAAAGCTTCATATAGTCATCCTGAAATGAATCCATTTTCTGTGACACCAAAACAGTCAATACGAAGTACACATAATGTATACCACATAGCAACATTGATCAATCAATAAATGCAAACAGGAAATTTCTTGAATAGTTATCTACATTGAAATACAAGTGATGAACATTGTGTCTAGTCGCACGAAGAAAAAGAAATGTATCGAATTTAAAACTACTTTGACCCATCAGACAATTGAATATTTGACATCATTTTTAGTGATTTTTAATATGTAACATTGATAGGTTCTGGGTTCGAACCCCACGAGACGGAATCTTGGTTGTGTACTGCTGATGAGTTTCACACAAGGACGAAAGGGACATTCAGTGCTTCTAGGTTTTCTATAGTGGTCTAACACATGAACTTAACTATTAGACAAGTGTATCATCTACAAAACCCTTTTGTGATAATCATGTATAAGTTGGTGCTAATGATAATATAGATATGGATTAAATAAATAAACTATATTCGAAGATACTTTACTTGAGTATGTTAATAAAAAGAATCCTCAGTATGGGATTATTGAAATTTTTAAGTTTCTGATTGAGATCATGAATCGATCAATGTTAGACCATCGTTGAAAACTTGGAAGTATTGGACGGCTGTTTTGTCCCAGTGTGAGTCTGTTCAACAGTGCTCATCCACGATCCCATATCGTGAGGTTCGAACTTGGGATCATTTTGTCTTGCGCACAAACACTTAATTTTTAGAACTTTGACCCGGCCATCATTAAACGATGTTAATGTTTAACATCAACTAATCCATGAAATCGAGCGACATATCCACCATTATCTTCAGTGAGTTAGTATCTCACAACAGATCCGACTGAGAAATCCCATAGTAG